TTCTCTTCTTTACCCAGTCCATAACGTTCACTAGCACTGTGAATGCATTGCCTAAAGTTCCCATTAGAAATTCCACACTTAAAGTACTGAATAATATGCAATATAGGACAACATTCATTGTTTCCAAGATGATGCTCCAAATTCCACTATAGTGATAAATATTTGTAAATAGTCTTCTGATGTATGTATAGCTGATTCTTGAGAATTCATAACAAACAAATTAAATGAACTTTTATGTACAATGTCAAGTATGCATCAAGATTTCCTAATGAAGTAGTTTATAGTTTTCTTCACAAAAATCTTACACTTTGCAAGGATACCCAGGTGAGCGTCATCCAGATGCTTCATACCTTACACACAGTGTACCAGACGGAGTTCTCCATATTTGATACTAAGGAAAGCAGAATTCACATGCACTATCATTAAAACAAATAAATTTATTTGAATTGCTTTGAATGTTTGCATATTAAATTGTAACCATTTTATCTCTGATAAGGAAAAAACACCATAAAAATCTAACTCACATAAAAGGTAAAGTATTTTAACTTCTATGTATCATAAGATTTCCATTAAATATTTCAAAANAAATTTTTATACAAGCCAAAAATTACCTAATAATCTTACCTATTTAGTTACTCTTCAAATATCTGGGACTGAGATTAACAATTTTACTTTTTATAAGGTTATATATAGATGCATACACATACATATACTAATATATGCTAGTATATAAATGTGCATTTTACAACTTAATCCCTTTCAGTTCTGATTGAAATAATTCAGGTTTATCATTTACTAAAATTTATTGTGCATTTGACTTACAATTAGTAATGTGATAGTTGTTAGGAGATGGTACAAAATTGCTTCCATTTTTAATTGATGCAATAGTAATGTAAATCTTCTAAAGACTTGTGACTATCTTCTTCAAACACGTAAAGAAATATGGAATAATTCCTATTCTGTTACAAAGACAATAAGTTTACATGAATTCATTTGCACAACAAGAATCTTTTTGATTATCCATGTCTCCTACCTTTATTAATGCATCTGATTCCTTCACCAGTATGAGCACAAGGAACTATTCATCTCTCTCCAGTTTGCACTGACATTTTCTCCTGTAATGTCACTGTAGGCATAGAGGCATATAAAGGACAATAGATAGCCCATGAAAGAAAGGGAATGGAGCAATGGGTCATAACATTCTTCAAGACCTAATGGATAGTCAAAGGAGCAATAACACAAAAGAGAAGTATTAAAATAAGAAAGCAGAAAAAAAACATGTATCAAAAACTATAGTAAACTTGGCCTAGTAGTGAACACCAGTATACATGGTTCAGCACTGAGGGAAACTGGGAAGACCCTGTATCAACATAACACTAATAAAAATGCTGAGATAAAAGGAAAAGGCATAGATTATTGCATGTGAAAGATGAATTATAACTGGAAATTGGAGCAATGGTGAACAAAGAAAGTGACAAAATTTCTAGAACTGAAACATTAACATACCTGAACACAGAAAGGTCCTCATGAGATGGCTCTTTCCAGTAACAAAAGGCAGAAGAAGACAAAGAGAAATGCAAAACATATTGAGGGTGGAGCAGTGTGGAGAAAATGCTAGTACAATAGCTTCAAGGCCTTTTGGAAAAGTGACAAAGCGCGTATTCATGGGAGGCAGTAACAACAGCCCAGGAGCTTTCCTGAGCCCCTCTCTTCTCCACCTTCCACTCTGGACAAGAAACGTTTCAGGTTCTACTGGAATTGCTGTAGCTGCTGGACTCTGTAATCTAAGTTGGTTTGTTCAGATTTGAAGCTGCAACTGTATTGATAGCGGCAAGATTGCCGTGAAAGTCTCTGACACAGTTGTATGAAAAGAGCCCAAACTCCTTCTGAATTCATGCAAGGCACTCCACTTCACAAAAGGAGTAACCTATATTCAAGAGACAAAGCAGCAAAAACAGAGCTACAGAAAAAGCATAGCCTCCCAGTGCAGGGCATTCAGCAAAAGTGTAATTCATGTGTTTATAAATTCAGTCACTCTTTGGTTGGCACAGTTCAAGAATATTTCATCCATAAAGCTCTGTGATACCTCAAATGTCTTGATATGTTTCCTGGTGAATATCTTGTGTCATCAATGATATTCCTCCCTTTTGAACTATAACAGAACATTGTGAGCATTAGGTCTAATTTTGTAGGTGGTCATCTAGAGACCACATAGTGGAAGGGAGAATATTTATTCTAGTTTAGATTTTGTTGCTTCACTTCTATGAGCATACAATATGCACACTTAAAAAGCTTTTAGAAATGTTAGGCGAAAAAAACATATAAAAGTAACAACTGAAAAATGATGCGGGTAGTTCAGTATAAGTTCAGTAGAAGAATACGTCTCAGTCATGTAGGAGACCCTGGGTTTAATCAACAATCTCAAAAATTAAAAAAAAAAAACGATAAGGAAAGGAATCTTCTTCTTAACTAGATTTTATAATGTCAAATGTTATTTTGCATATAAAATAAGTATTAATTAATGTAATGATAGTAACATTATCCATAGTTGAAAAGTATATGATATTTTGTTAAAATCTTTTACATGATTTTCAAAAACTACCGTTTTGTCACAGATGACATCTACTTTGGCATAGCAGATTCCTTCAGTTAGTACTTCTGACATCTTAATAATATACTAACATTTCACCTAACAATTGTTCAATAGCCAGTCTTTTGCTCTGAGTAATGCTTCTGTTTAAGTTGGCAAAATCAAATTAAACCAAATGAAAACAGAACCAAATACTTTATGCTACCTACAGATTTTATAATGTCTTTATTTGCTATCATCTTGAAAGCCTTCACATAGTTCACTCATTTATTGATTCTGTAAACTATTTTGACGACCATATTGTTTTCATTTTTAGGTGCTAAGAATAAACAGAGCTGGCATGATTTCCCCTCTCAGGATGCTTTTTATATACTTGATGAGATTGATGTTGAACATGGTTAATTCTGTGACTGAAATGATCTGCCTTTACTTTTACATAAAGATGATAAGATTTCCTAACACCTGAATTTCAAAGAGATAGGAGCTCGCCTTTTGTAGGCCCTTCATGTGGACTGTGATGCTGGGATTTTGTCATCCATTATGTGGAACAAAGTCTTCCTGGGCTTCTTTTGCACAGGAAGAAGATTAACCCCAGAGCACAAAGCAGGGATGTAGTGCCAAGGGGGAAGTGTCCACAGTGAGGACAGTCCCATGTGAGTGTGAAGTGTCTACATGAGAACACTCCCATGTGAAAAGCTGTTGTGTCCTTCATCTTTGTCTTTCCAGTTATGTTGCTTTCATACTTTCTCACCAGAGCTGTCTTCTTTACTCACACCCCCAAAAAATAAAAAATATATAAATAAAAACAAGCAACACATGAGTGAGAGTGTATGTATGTAATATTTGTGTGCTTGTGTGTGATAGTATACACACCCCACAAAACAAAGACCATAGAGGATATTAGGTGTCTTCATGTATCATTCTGTCCCATTTCCTTGAGCTAGAATATCTCACTGAGCCTGGAGCAGAGCTGGTGGCCAGCAAGCCTCAGTGATCCTCCAGTCTCCACTTCCCATCCCCCACAGCACAGGTGTTACAGACACACACCATCATGCCCTGTTTTGTTGTAGAAGGAGGAGAGGCAGGCTGCTTCTTGCCGCCCAACTTCTGGCCGCCTGGCTAGCTTACACCCCAAAATAACAAGAAACAAATTATATTTATTTAAACATTGCCTGGCCCATTATTTTTAGCCTCTTATTTGCTAACTCTTACATATTCATTTAACTCATAGCTAATAATCTGTATCGCCACTTGACTGTGACTTACCCGCATGAGTCTATCCAGCGTCCATCTTGGAGAGGAGAGCCATAGCATCTACCACACTGCCTTCCTCCTCCCAGAATCCTGTTCTGTCTACTCCACCCACCTAAGGGCTTGCCTATCAAAAGGCAGCTTCTTTATTTAACCAATGAATGTAACACATAGGCAAAAGATCCTCCTACACCATTTCTCCTTTTTTTGTTTAAACAAAAAAGAAAGGCTTTTACTTTAACATAGTAAAATTACATATAACAAAGCAGTTATCAAGCAAGAATTCCAGTTACAATATTTATATCTATTTTATCTTTTATCATAGCAATGGAAAACTATAACCATCTATCTATTTTTCCACTCCATCAAAGACTCCAGAAGGATATAATATTACCTAAGTAAATGAGAAGTAAGCAACTTCAGAAACTCTAGAGATGACAGAGACATCTCGCTGCCTGGACAGTCACTCAAAGTTCTTTTTTACTGTTGGGGCATCCATCTCTGGCCTTTAGGCCCATAGTATCTAGCAGACTTTTCCATGAAGCAGGAAATTTCAAAGAAAGTTCAGTCACTTTCTTTTGTATCCTGCAGAATGTCTTGCAGACTCTTTCATAAGTCAGGAACCCCGAAAGATCATCTCACCTTTAGGCAAGTCCAGCAGTCCTCTCTCTGTGGGTTCTTTGTATCCAGTTTATGCAACAGTCCAGGCAAGAGTAGTTTCTTGCCCAAATGGCTAGTAAACTCCATAAGGAGCCTCTTTGATGCCCATCTTCCTCTTGAAGTAGCTGGTGCTACCAGGAGCAGACCCTAAGTTATTAAAACATTAAATGCCATATTCTGTTGTTTTTGAAAGATATGAAGAATGCCTATCTAACTGAAATATACATCTATATTTCTAGAAAATTTAACTAACATGACTACAAGCTTGACTATTATCAATGATTATTCATTAACAACTATATTTCCTGATTATACATTATATTTTTGCTGTTTCAAAAGGCTTTATTTTTCCTTGGTCCAAGACTTGAGAGGGACTCCAGGGCATTACAAAGCTGCCTAATGGCTTCTTGAGAGGTTCGGGTGAAGGTCCTGAGGCAGGCTGGTGCAGAGCAGAGGTGGGAGCCCCTCGGAAGGAGAGTCATGCTTGAGAGTGAGCCTCCTAGTCATGCTTGAGAGTGAGCTGCTCAAAGAGGTACTCACCCAGAGATGCCTGGGGCCCAGCAGCCAACCAGCGGAGGTTGGTCAGGTGGTTGCCCATCTTCTTGATAACCTTCACCTCCTTATCCAGGAAGTGGTTTTCAAGGAAGTTACAGAGATGAGGATCTGTGCGGGCAGAGCCCAGGGAATGAAGATCCAAGAGGGCCTGGTTCAAGTTCTTCTCCAAGGCCAGGGAAGCTTTCATGGCCTCCTGGGTTTTACCCCACTCATCTTGAGATGGACTTTGCACATCCTGAAAGAGTGCACGGCCTCCGCGATCGTTCTGCAACTTGAGGAGATGCTCGGTGCCCTCGTGCTTCTCCTCGGCCAATTCGCTGAAGAAGTGGCCTACACTCTTCAGAGCCACGTCATCCTGGTCAAAATAGAAGCCCAGCAAGAGGTAGGTATAGGTGGCCTGCAGGTGCAGGTTGACCAGGCGGTTCATGGCAGCCTCCACTTTGGTGGAATAATTCTGACGAATCTGGGAGGTCATGGCTGAGATACAGTCTGGAGCTACACGCAAAGAGATGGTGCTGGCTGGTCCTGGGAGCAGAAGGCGGCCAGGAGATGATCCCGGAGGCTGCGATTGCAGATGAGGAGCGGTGGAAGCTAACAAAGGAAGGCACTGGGTCTGTTCCATAAAAACACTATTGAAGCAAGACACAGATCCACGGGATCTCCGAAGGCTGCTCTACATTATGTTTTTAAATTAACTACACAATCACAATACCTTAATCAAGATCAGAAATACATATACATATAACAAAATTGACCTTAAATTTATACCAATGAAGCATAATTTATACCAATGTAAATTAATTCATATCTATATCATATCCCCCTTTAAATGTAAAAGAACATTTATAAACAATGTTTGGGAATATGGGCACAGTTAGTTCTCTACAAACTTCTTCCTGATGTATGGGGGCGCTGTTAATTAGGTCTTTCATGGTATAATATGTGTGCTAGATTCCTCTCAGTCAGCAGTTGAGTCAAGTAATTTTTTGAGGGTGTTCGTAGCAACCTTTCAGGAGGGCATGCTCTATCATACCATATTGGGATAGAAGCAATCCACAGGGTCTCATCCTCTGTGAAATCAAAAGAACCACCTCTTTTCCGAAGCATCATATCCTTAGGTCCAAATTCTGAAGTCAAGATAGCTTTATAGTACACATGTTGGATTAGCTTAGCCACACAATGAAATGTCTCTCTCTATTTAGCTCCTTCACAGTCAAAAAATTTAAAGAAAACACAATGAACATAATCCTGACTCTGTGAATTTTTCATTTTTATGTGACTTATTTTTTATTTCTTTTAATCTATTACCATCTGTACTCTGTCTCTTTAAAGACTTTACCCTTTTTTAATCATTAACTTTATTCTCTATATTCTTTTTCTTCTCTCTTCCAAGCCTGCATATGTCTATCAAACACTATGACACATTTAGAGAACTTTTATGCCTGAATCTGTCCTATTGTGAATCTGTAATTCTTCACTATCCAGGAGCACTTCTTAAAATGCTAAGCACTTCTTAAAAACTTAAGTTGCACCATGTACAGGTAATACGGTACTGCCTGTGTCCTGCCCAGTCTAAACCTTAACTGTGCTGTTATGATAATTAATATAGTTACTGCCTGAGATCAGCACAGTTCAGCATGGCAGAGCTGAAGCTGCTCATGTCTCTGAGCCAAGCACAGTTCCAGGCACACAGCAGTCCACATTGCCATCAAGCAAGCCATAGCACTTTACTCACAAAACCCCATCCAAATTCTCTGTCTCCTGCAAGAGAAAGAGGTTACCGTAGGAGCATAGCACAGAAAGCCCGCGTTTAATTTCTCTGCGGCACCTGGCCAGCAAACAGCAAAAAGCTGTGTTAAACTCTCTCTCTCTCCTTTTTAAGCCCTCTCAGGTTTTATGTAGAGTTAGTAGACCATGTTGGGCAGGCACTCTGTTGTAAAAGGAGTGGCAGCTGCGTTCCTGCCTGGATCCCGGCTGACTAAACCTCTAAATAATCACCAAAACTATTCATTTAAACACTGCCTGGCCCATTGTTTCTAGTCTCATATTGGCTAACTCACACATCTTAATTAATCCATTTATATTAATGTATATTGCCACTTGACTGTGCCTTACCAGCATGAGTCTAACCAGCGTCCATCTTGGAGAGGAGAGCCATGGCGTCTGCCACACTGCCTTCTTCCTCTCAGAATTCTGTTCTGTCTACTCCACCCAAGGGCTGGCCTATCAAAAGGCTAATGCAGCTTCTTTATTTAATCAATAAAAGTAACACATAGACAGAAGACCCTCCTATACCACTGTTTCTTAGGAGTTCTGTGGATTTCAACTTAGAACCCCATGGTTGTAAAGATTCTCTTATTAGATAAGTCATCTTCCCTGCCTCCCCTTCAATATATCTACTTTATATGTGCCCTTGAATTGTAGATGTAATCTGTTATTCTTTACAATTCCATGACCAATGTCAAGCAAACAGCAGCACAGTATGTTAGTAGGTGAACTCAATCATCTCTTTTTGAAAATAGTAAATTACCATAACCGCTCAAATTGACTCTTGTTCATATACTCTGTGACACTCCTGTAGACCAATTGAATTCATAGTTGACTTTGAATTTAAACTGCATTCTTGTTGCTAGCATGCAAATAAGGACATATTCTGATTCAACATTTGTAAACACTATTGTTTAATTTCTCCATTATTTGTGTTAAACTATTTAGTTTTCTGTTAATTACATGTTAAATTTAATTATCATAATATTCACAGTGTTTTTTTGGAAACCTAGGAAACTAATATTCCTTCAAAAGCTAGTAACTATGCATAACTGTGTTTAAAATTGTGTGCTTGTGTAATTACATAGAGGAACACACACATACCCCATAGGAGAATTATTGTTCTATCTTCTCAATTGTGTTTCTCTTGTATATAAATAAAATTCAAAACACCTTTAATGATCTTCAGACTTTTTGGCCTTTTATCAATGTCTGTCAAACATATTTCTCATGTTTAGAGCTTTGGTGAAGTTACTGGTTTGAGTACATTAAGTTTTAAAATAATTATTTTTTAAGATAATCTGCGATTCACAGAATCAAGGTTTAAACATTTCTTGTGCTTTCATTATGTTCTTTTAAAAACCTGTTTCTGATGGAAATAAATGGAAGTACAATACCTCTAAGCCCATTTAGATAGTACCAGTTAATAGCAGAACCAATCCATGCTGGCCATTATGTTCTTTTAAAAAATCTGTTTCAGGCAAAATAAATGGGAGTACAATACTTCTAAGCCCATTTAGATAGTACCAGTTAATAGCAGAACCAATCCATGCTGGCCAAACACTTTCTCCATTCCCCCTCCTTTCTACAGATAGAAAATAGAACCTTAAAATAAAAATCCTGCTTTCCCTGGGAGGCTGGTACTTTTGACTTTTCTGCACAGCCTGTTGGCAAAGGCTTCTCTTTCTTTCCCAGCCTGCCTGATCCAAATAATCACCCAGAAACTATATTGATTACAACACAGCTTGGCCTACTAGCTCATTCTTATCATTGAATAGATCTTATAACTTAAATTAACCTATTCTATTCATTGATGTATTATCACATGGTTGGGGCTTACTGGTAAGGCATCAGGCATCTGTCTCCTAAAGTGGCTACATAGCATCTCTTTGACTTTGCCTACTCTCTCCTCCTCTCTCTGCTTGGAATTCCCACCTTGCCCTATTCTGCACTGCAATGGGCCCAAACAGATTCTTTATTAACCAATAGTATTCACAGTATACAGAGGGTATACCCACACCAGCACCCTGTCATATTAGCTAACACACTGCTCAACCAACTCTAATAAATGCTTTGCCTGAAAAATGACACATCTCCTTCCATGTCTCTCCATTCATGATCATCTTGGAAATGTAACACTTATGAATTGAGTACTCCCTAAAAAATTACATCTTATGAAGCAGATAGTTTTTTCAGTGAACTGTACAAACCTACACAGCATAGAAAGGAAGGCCTGTCTCAAGATCCTGTTCTGTAGAATCAGGGCACATGAATGGGCAGAGAGAAAACCAAATCTCAGAGTTAGTACAAACAAAATTATTGGACTTCCCTGCTTAAAGTTACTGTTACAAAATAGTAGGAAAAGCACCAAAAAGAAAGTGGTATACAGTAACAAGCTGACTACTATTTCAAGGTCTTTATGTGGGTTGTGTTCTAAGGTCTCTGGAGCCTTTAGAAATGAGCTGCATGCCCTTAATATCTCTCCACAGGAAGAATATGAGCAGGAGGAAAGTAATCAAGGTCAGGGTGAAGGGGATGAGTGTGAACATAGTGTTGGTGAATAAAATAATCCTAGAGTTGACCAGAGTGGATTGAAATAAGAATATAGAATATATTTGGTTCATGTCCATCATTCCAGAAATGAGCATGTCTGTTTATGACTAAAATATTCAAAGACAAGAGAAGCAGAGGTTCCAGCAATGTCATCAAAACAAATTTTGAACTCTCCACTTTAGGTGAAGAAACATGGAGTTTGAGAGAAAAAATGGCCATTTTGAGAAAATAAATGATGCTGATGTTTATAGCAAGTCAGAAGCTGACATGATTGGTCACCATCCAGAAAATATTGATTCTTCTCTCCACTTTTCCAGTTATCATTAAGGATGGTACAACTCAGATATAAAAAAGGACTATGAGAAGAGACCAGAGCAGAGTGATCCTGGAGATGGCCAGAGCAGTGAGGATCTGACCCACTGAAGAGACCTTTCTTCTCTTGACATAGTCCATGATGTTCACCAGTGCCATGAATGCTTTTCCTAAGTTTCCTATTATGAATTCCACACTTAAAATAAATGTTAATGTGGTATGTAGAATATAACTCATTGTCACTAGAAGGATGCTTTAGTTCATGATACACTGATGAAGATGTTTTAATCAGTCCTCTAAAATGCTGGGAAATTCTTGAACTCCCATAGCAGTCACTGCCATAAGCCTCTATACACAGTGCCAATCAAACTTTGATTTACTACTGATTTGGTCCACAATAGTCTGCACAAAATTTAAGAACCCCCAAGGCAGCTAGGTTAGAGTTTATTCAGATACTATGAGCCTTACAAAGGGCACCCTATAGTCTTTTGTGTAGATATGAAATAAACACATAATTTTTATATGCTGTTATCAAAATAAAGATATACTTACATGCATTGGTTTTTACTTGTTTACCTTTATACATATTTTAATCTAGATATTTGATTTATGGACAAGTGACATTAAGGAATTGTAACTCATAGCCAGCAACCAAATCCATACTGAAATATAGAAGAAAAACAACGTTAAATATCAAAGTAATGCTTGCCCAGGGAACTATGCACGTTTGCCAAAGTTTTTATAGCAAGGTAACAGAGTTGCATAAAAGTCTCATAGACTTCATTGTCCTTCTGATATTCTGTAATAAGAAAAATGAACATCTTGCATTTTGCAGGGTCATGC